CTATTATTTGAACTAGACTCAAAAAAAAAAAAACAAACTATAAATTTGCATAAAATTCAATTATTACATTTAAAGAATAAAAGTATAATATTTAATAATTATTCTCTTCTAGTATAATATTTAAAGAATAATACACTGTTTAAGTGCTATCTTTTCAATTCATAAAAATTCGACCAAAGTCGATTGTAAATGCATCAGTTAATTAATTATAAATTACTGATATCGTTCAATCAATAATTTAACCGATAACATTAAAATTATTATTACATTAAATTATTTATTAATTGCAACAGACGATTTAAATTAATGATACTGAAATGTTAATTTAAGTTAAATTAATCCTGTTAATATTTATTGTAATATAGTCGAGCTATCTGAAAATCGAATCTCCTTTCATCGTAGAGAATTTGAGACACGAAAAGATATATATGCAACTGTAATGTTGAAATACAAGATTAAATATTGAAACTACTTTCCAATTGCCGATCCTGATCTCTGAATTAATTTTTTTCTTTTCCTTTACATTCCTTTTTTCTGTTTTTTTCCTTTTTTGTGAGAAGTGGCGATGAATTTATTGAAATGACGAGAAAGTGAAGGTGAAAGTTTACGCAAGGTGAAAGTGGTATTTTATATAATAATAATAATAATAATAATATTTGTCGATCGAAATTAAAGTCATTTCCTTTTTATTGATTGTTTTTTTTCTTCAACTCGATCATACGAATTATTACTTGTCTGTAACACTCGAACGAAATGTTACATGTTTGAATCAAATGAATGAAAATGAAAGATTTGCGCCCAATTTATTTGTAACACAAACTTTGAGAAGTTTTTTTCTTTTTAAAATGCATCAAGAAGATTTTCATCAAGTTTTCCAAGATCGATGTAGTATTTTACCAACATTCATAAACAGTAATCATAATACAAATTGCAGATATTAATAATAATTAATTATTATAATGCTTATGTTGCGTTCATTACGTTTCAAAAAATTGTAATAAACAAGTAAATATAAATGTTGACGACAATTAATAAGCAATAACCTATAACAATCAATGGAAATAAAATTTCAGTATCAATATATTAGATTCAGCTGCGTAACTCTAATAATAAATACGCGAAAATATATTATAATTATGATAACATGAAGTAACTGTTCCACACTGCGAATAATATAATTGGCAGCTTAATTAACACGCATAGCATAAATGCAGTTAATTCAATTAACAAGTATATTTGCACACAATACAAGCTACTGCATTTTAATCTTCATGCAGGGAATTATCTCTGGAGCACTACTGTGCTGAAAAACAGTTTCAAATAAAACTGGGTTTATTTCGGGGAAGAGTGTTTTACGGTCGATATATAAATTTCTGGTGAGTGGGGATTCCATCAAAATTCTGATCATAAATACTCCGGTTCACGTGTCTTTTTTTTAAGCTAGATGTTCAGAGACTTAGCTCAAAGTCGAGTTCATTGACCCAGAAATATATGAGTTTCCCGGGGCCACTGAGAATTCTTCAACAGAATTTTCTAAAAATCGAAGTTTCATGGTTTCACAGTTCAAAAACACTGAGGCGTACTACTTCAACAATCTCTCCTTTGCAAAAAGTTGAACTTGTAATGCTTGAAATTTTTAATTCTATTTCATCTGCTTGGAAATTTTAAGATATCAATTTTCGTCATTTTAACCTTGCGTTTGTGCGAAATTATAAAAAAATCTGCTTTCACTAAATTTTGAATTAATTGTGCAAAGTACAGACATTAATTTTATTTCAATTTCAATTCGTGAAATTCTGCAAAAGTACAAGAAAATTTGTCTTTTGTCTCTGTAATCGCGTAGATTCTGAATTGATCTTCCGTTTTTATCATGCAATTCTGCAAAGTTATAAAAAAATCTGAAGTCGTCTTTTCAATTGCGCAAGATATTGTACGAATTTTTCTTTCAATCTTTATGATTGGAATCACGAAAGGAAACTCGCGGAAAAAATGGGCAAAATATTATATATTAGAAAACGAGAATGAATCACAAAAACGCTAGTTATGTCTCTGTAATTCAACTTCTACAGATCATAAAAAAAAAAAAAAAATCCCAGTCACTTCTATTCTTATATCATTAAATTTTATATCTACAGAGTGGACCAAAAGTTTCTTCCCACCCATTTTTTTTTTTTTTTTAATATGAGAAAAAACTAATTTCATTAATTTTAAATTAAATAAAAAATTACAGATTTATTTGAGTAGGAAGTGATTTTTGGCCCGCTCTTATACTTCGCTAGTAGCAACTGTTTCATCTGTTCATCCTGTAGCAGTCTGTTTCCTCGCGAACCTAACCTAACCTCTCTTTCTCGCTTTCCTCGTGCCGTGAGTAACTGTACCAAGCGTTTCCTGTATCTCTAAATTGGTAACGCGAGCCAAGCAACGGCGAGTCGAACTGTATCGAAGGTCAGGATGTGTATGCCTGTCCCTCGATTTAGTTCCACCAGCGGTGTATTCTACACGCGTATAGAAGCTGGAATGTCCAGCCGTGGCGTGCACGTGCCAAGGCACGTCCACTGGTGTGTAACGGCCATTTTCTTTTCTTGCTTGGAAAGAACTTCTTCGAAAGAAATCGTCGATCGTCGCGGAGTCTCCACTCGATTTCCATGTTCTTTGAAAATACCCACGTTCAATCCTCTCACTCTGCTGACGACAGGTTTGAGGTTAGGGTTTAAACGGTTTTTAATCTCTTAGCTATACACCTATATATCTGACTACTTTGCACTACGTAATTAATAAATAAAATAAAATGTAAAATAATCGACAACTAAATTCGAATAATGAATATATAACAAAACTATAAATAATAATTATAAATTTATTACTTTTATTTTATTTAAAATAAATTTACATAGCTATTGCAGAAGGTAGCTCGCACAGACGGCCATTTTATCGAATGAAGATCAAATTCAATTATTCTTGCTTCGTGTATACGTAATGTTAGTAATAAAGGAATTCCAAATGCAATACAAAAATAAAGAATATATGGATATTCTCTTATCTTCAATAAAAATGAAAATGAGGAATATACATTGATTGAAAAGTGTCTCAATAAAAATAAAAATAAGAATAGTACATATTGATTGAAAGGAAAAGATATAGGTATAATAAAAAATAGAAATCTATAATTGAATTGAATTGAATTATTAGCTTTTTATCTAATTTTTCTTGTTTCTCAATTTAGCCTCTGTTTTGCAATCAAAGTCCCCTTTAAAATGTCTACTACTTTTTCTCATTGTTAAATCATCAAAAGAACCATTTTTGTGTTGCAGAGTTTCTCACATTTTACAAATTATTGTTAAGTGTCTGCTCTCTGGTAAAAAAAAAAAAAAATTCATGCACAGTGGCTGATGAAATACTTCAATGAAAAATAAATAGTAAACTGGTTGAAATAAATAATAAAAATAAATAATGTACTGGTTAATAAAATCAATAACAAGCTGCTGGATAATAAGCTTCATCCTCAATTAAAATCGTCTCGACTTTGCAAATTGAATATTTATGCCGTGAGCATTGATTTCCATTGGCATGGTTTCGTAACGATACGTAACGATTGCACTAATCACGCAAATATTTAATTCGACGTAAGCGTATATTAAACGCGGAAGAGACTTAATGTTTAATCTGCATTTGGGTAACGTTTTTCGAACAACGGAATACTGGTGCAAATCCTCCGATGAAGATTTTAGAAAAACGAGCTAGATGCAGTCAGATGAATAAAATGAGATAGAATATTATATAATTTAGAAATTAAATCTGCAGACAAAGACTTTTCGAATAATCGAATAAATCCAACAAATTGATTTCGTAAAATTCCACCAATTCCAAGAATCTATAATTATGTGTATATATAAATACATGTACACACAAAATATACACATATATAAAAGATTTTCTGTTAACAATGGAATAAAATAAATGAAAGGAAGATAAAGATTCGTTCAAAAAATAAAATAAAAAAAAAAAAACAATTCCCACCACGGACGTGATATTTCCACAATAAACTTTTCCCTCTGCAAAGGAAACTGGCTTCCAAATGTTGTCGCACTACGACAAGAAGAACGATGTTAAACTTTTTGCTGCATCTATCTGGGTAGAGAGAGAGAGAGAGAGAGAGCGAAAGAACAGTTTTACGGTTCGAATATGGATCACGTCTTGGCTTTAACCCTGACCACTTTGTTTCGTGCTGTGTAACACAAGTAATAGGCATTATGCGCCGTGCAATTGTACGCGGAAACAGCGCACGCCTCGTGGCTTTTGTCTCGATTACTTGCTGATGGCACTCTTAATAATATCGCGATAGAAACATTGAATAACAATGGGCGCGCGGTGGCGATTGTTGCGCTGCAACAACGTAACAGCGTTTTGCAACATACATTATCTTCGCTGCATAGTTGCCTTGCCAATGGTATAAATAAATAACACGATAACGTTAATTAATTTAGCAGGATGAACAGTTACAGCGAACATTCCTGAATTATCGTACCATGAAATGCGATAATTCAAAACGGATCTCTTTAATTTGATAATTTCTACTTAATCGATTGAAACACGATTGAAAGCTCTTCATTTTAATCGATTGATTTAATTGAATTCAACTGGCATAATAATAATATTGGTAAAACAAGTGGCTGATATAAGACTCTCTTTGTTCATTGTTCAAATGAATACGAAACCTTAAAAAATGCAGAAAATTAAGGATAGGAAAATGTAGACGAGGCTTTCAATTGACGGAAGATAAAAAGAAATAGTAAATTCCATACTAACGCAGATGACGTGGTTTACGAGAAACGTTAGAAGTAAATCATAATTTTGTTTGATCAACGATTTCGATTACTTCCTTCGTTCATTAATTAACATACTAACGACGGATTGGATCTATATCAATCAACAGAAATTCGCGAAACACGGCTACTAAGCTGCAAGCTGTTGTCTGAACGAGAAACGCTCTGATTTGTCTGATGGCAGGCGAGGGCTGCGTGGAGAAACCGGTGTCGACGTTGTGGCGCAATTACGTTACCAGCAGCAGGCCGGACGTGTCGATGAGGCTGACCGTCACGAACGGCGGTTTGACCGCCACGACGAAAGATCACGGCCTGACAGAGTACTGGGCGCATAGGGTGACCTATTGCACAGCACCTGCTTCCCACCCGCGCCTCTTCGTCTGGGTGTACCGGCACGAGGGACGGAGGCTGAGGCCGGAGCTCAGGTGCCACGCTGCCCTCTGCACCAAGGAGTCCACCGCGAGGAGGCTTGCCTCGACCTTGAACGCCAGGTTACAGCAGGCGCTCCTGGAATTCCGACGGGACAAGGTCTCCAGGCAAAATGCTAGGTAAGCAAATCGATCGTGTGTGCGAGGGGGGCAACTGGTCGTGTGCATTCGAAGAGGTCGGAGATTGTGCAACTCGGGCATCGATCACCACTAGGAAACTGTGTTTCAGTTCGAAATATTTTAGTAGGTAGATATGATAGCATTGTC